TGTACGGTATGTATGTATATATATATATATATATATATATATATATATATATATATATATGCCCTATAGTTATTTAGAAAATGATAATAACATACCTTTCCTCATAAACTTGGATATTTCCTTGTTTATGAAAACTTTATCTTCGTAGTTAGTCTTCGGATTTTTCTTCATACTGTCAAAGGAACAGTGGTTGACTACCTTTTCCAAACCACCCTCCGGAATTGTACATCCTAGAAATGTAGCGATTTCAACAATACCGCCAGCTAGATCCTTTTGAAAGAAACACAATAGGTCTATAAAGCTGTTAAATGCATTTGCTCAAATAACAAACAATTGTATCAAAATTGAAAAAAAATGTGTATATTTGTGAAAAAAAAAGATGAAAAATACGTAGCCTTGAAACGGACAATCTCTATAGGAAACTAGCCAAGAGCATTTTAATATGTTTTACTAGGTTGTGTCTCCACACTTTTGCTATACAAAAATCAAGTTCTTGACTAAGCTAGGTTAGTCAGCCTGTAAACCGCACGAAAAAAAATTCAAGGATTATTATGATTGATGTGTCTGTTTTTTTAATGGATTCCGATGAATTTTGTCAATGATTAATGAATTTGTTTCTTTGACGCTTTTTTTTTTAATTCAAGAATCATGTTAAAAACATGAAGAGACTATAATAATGTTGGTACATAATAAATGCAATGAAAGAGGAAGATAATTTTAAGGTGGTTACACGCTAAAAAGGAAATAAAATAGTTAGCCATTAATTTTCTGTTGAGTCGGTGGGACAAAAATGTTAATCTGTAGTGGAATAAATGGGTGGTACACAACACTTTTTATTGAAGTATTTATGATTCTTTTATTAAATAGTTTGTTGGTCTGTGAAGTTCTAGCTACCATATATTTATTCCTGTATACAGTATATTTAAACTATGGCCACCAACTATTTTATGACTGTCTTTTCATGAAAGTCTAACAATCTGTCAGGACACGCGAATACTCACGGCCACGCGTTGTCAAAATGGTTGTAATTTCTAACAACATACGATGACAATTAATGATAGGTAGGTGTATACCTTTTTCAGGTCTTCGTACTTTAGAAACAAAACATTTTCATCCTGACGCCTGGACCACCAGTATAAATTGATATCAAACCACGAGCCACCGTGAGCTGTGCAAAATATATAGAATGAAGTGCATTCATTGATTGAACAAGGACAACATTAATGTAGGTATGAATGACAGTTACCAAACGTACCCAGCATAGGATAAAACTGGTATTGCAGTAAACCTACAGTATTATTACCTCTCCCACACTTAGTAACTAAAATTACTCTTACCGTGGCCTGCGACAAAAGAATCAAAGAATTCACTCCAGTTTGCATATGCCTGTAGCATGTTAATTGCTCTATGAAAGTGGTAAAGTGAAACAGCATTGTCCTTTGGATTGCGACCAACATATACAATCTATAAGTTTAGAATTAAATGGATATATATATATCTGTCTCTTATACACATCTAGATGTGTATAAGAGACAGGTGTATGCACTGTACTATCTCGAAAAGAAGCCTATGCTATCTTAAAAAGAAGCCCGTGGGTTTCTTTTCGAGGCTAATTTTTTTAAATTATAGAGGGGACTTCAATTCGAGATGGCCTTCATCTCGAGAATAAACCCACTGGGCTTCAATTTGAGGTTTTGTGGTAGTCCATTTGTTACCGGCCCTTATTCTTTATTCATAGGTGAAAACAGACGACATAGGGAATACCTTCTCCTCCACCCACCCAAAACAAGTCATGCAAAGAATAAATTGTTTTCATTACAGGCAAACGTACTATACCGTACATTCATGGTCTCAGAGCACAGTGCACTATAAAAATATATATATATATATATATACATTTTTATTGACATTGTTCAAAGTTTTCTGTGTCGTTGGAGAAGTAAATATTTTGTTTTTACACTAGACCAACATTATAAATACATTTCAGAAGCCATATCTACGTATCTTTTGAATTCATTCAATGTCATTTTCTTGAGATATTTTCGTAGGCACTACAAAAATATATTTTGAAAACATATTTCTAAATAATTGAAATAATGGCACGCTCCTGCGCTCGCAATTAATTACTCGTTCAGCCGAGTGGGAGGTATAAGATAATTGAAGAAATCGTTCAAATTAGTCTTCTAGCAGTGCAAATCCACTTAGGCCTATCAAACATTTTTTTGTCAGGCTAAGCTCAGTATCTTCCCCTTCGCTGGTCTGATCGCTAAGGGGATCCGTCCCATAAGCACTCTGTGCGAAGGTCAGTGGGAGCTCTGAATCCGTGCCTGGAGCATACGATACACTGTTAACGTTTTGAAGTCAGGCTCCGGAGGAAAGAATTTTTTGATATGTTGTAGAACTGATTTTTCTAAGACAGAAAAAAGTAGTTTGATCAGAAACTGAGCACGGTGAATGAGTTACAGATTTTTGAATATTTAAAAACTGGGGGAAAAAGGTGTAAAAATGGGTGGTTACGCCCCTTTTTCCCCAGTTTTTATATATCCAAAAATCTGTATCTCGTTCACCATTCCCCAGCTTTTCGTCAAACAACTTTTTTCTGACTTAGAAAAATCATTTCTACAACATATCAATTTTTTTTCCCCTCGTCTCTTATACACATCT